ACCTCGCTCGTTTATCAAATTAATATTTGTTTAAATTTTTTGCTCATCTTGCAAAACACTCGCAGACCAAGTTACTCGCAATCCAAGGTTTTACTGTAGTTGCGCATAACAATGCATTGGTTGCTGTGGTTGCTGGACGTTTTGTTCCACAAGTCATTTAATGGAAAATAACTGGGCAACTCCAGACCGGAGTCTAACTTGACTTGAGAGCTTCGTAGCAAAGAGAACCCTGCAGAGAAAGGCCCTTGAGGTTGACTCACAATGTGCCGGCGACATCCCCTACTACTCTGGGTGTTCATTCTACTGATGAGCTGTGCTGCACCAGCCACGGAACACGAGGTCAGACATACAAACTGCCTTCGTCTCCGAAGGAGCACAGACTGATGGCCAAGCTGTGGAGGTCCACCTTCTAAGGCCTCCATTGCCTCACAGAAGATAGGAGAGCACTCCTCTGTATTGGGGCACATTGGCTATTGATTTCTCAAGCCTGTGTCACCCGCCCACTCACCCACCCACTTGTCCACCCACCCACTCACTAACACCAACTCTTGATGTTAGTACAGTAGAAGCTTGATTATCCATGTGCGGCTTATTCGATTTGCGGATTAACTGCGTACCTTATATATTGAGATAAATTAATAACTCATGGATTTTCCCTTCAGCCAAACTAAATATTCTAAAAACAGCTATATGTTGTCAATTTTGGGAAATGTTTATGAAAAGTCACGTGCTTAAACCGAACATATATGTGGCTCCAGTTAATCTGAAATCCACGTGGGCAGAGTTTGATTTATTTTGAATGCCGTGGCTCTGCTGTCCACTTAGTGGGCGGAATCTTCTCTGCGGGACCAGGAAAGTTATCACCGAGCACGTGCATTGATTGGTAATGTATACCTATATTTGTGGTTTTTGGTATAGAGATCCGTGGAAAATGAATATTCTTGGATTATTTGCGATTCTGAATTATCCGCAGCCGTCGTTCCCGCCATTAGCGAGGATAATCGAGAGTCTACTGTATATCCACACATGCCACCACTGAACTGTGGGCAGCCCAGCAGTGGCTCGGGCGCTGTGTGGAAATCCACCACCATCACGAGACCTGGCCGTACACGGTCATGACAGAGAGCCACCACTGAACATAGAGTGGAAGGCAGTGGAGATTCAGAGGAGGATGTGGTGTACCACAGCTGTAATAAGTTGATAGCAATATGATATAGAGGAGCTTCAGGATTTGATAATCTGAAGAAACACAGCAGTGGAATTGTTTAAAGAAGATCTGAAGATTTACAAGTTGTTGAAGAATCAACACGTAAAGAGTTGTTGGAGAATAAGTAGAGATAAGGGTAACTCAAGGAGGAGATCCACACACTAAACTCTGCCAATCGAGCCAACGAGCAAAATAGTGACTTTATAACAAGTCCATGGACTATCATCATGGTGAAGATATCTGCCCATTTTTCACCTGACGGTGAAAGAGTGCTGTGCTGTCTACACCCACGAGGTCGCATCTACGCTTCGTCAGAGTTCAGCACCGATAGCATCGCTGCTGCTATGCTCTCATTAACAGCCCACAACTGAGTCATCAATGTGACGGAGGCTTTCATTCGTCCAGCTGACAGTTGCGGCCACTGCTGCCATGTGGCCGCGTTGGTGCGGCCTTGCACTGCTCACGTCGACCGGAGGAGGCATCGCGCGCAACGGCTCCCGCAGAAGAAATAAGACCCCCACTCATCAACTGCGACTAAAGATACCAGACTATGCTTAAAGTTCATGTGTAGAGGAGTGAAATACCCGGTGCGCACAGTTAACCGAGGGCAACTGAGGTCAAACAGGTGCGCATGTGCAACATGAGGTTGCACGGACAATCCGCCAGTTGTTAAGGAGCGAAGCAGGTGTAAACGGGGTCGACCGGTTGTGCACTTTGAGACCGGAGGTGTTGCCAGGGAGACAGGAGATAAGTGTTGATTGATGGGCCAACAGGCGCCGGCCTGGCAAGAGCTTAAAGAGCCGCACGAGAGGTCTTGGATAATTAGCAGAGGGATATAAGGGTGTGTGCGTGAGCGGAGGGGGAGTTGTTGCCAGGGACAAGCGTGAAGACATCTCGCCGCTGCCGCTCCAGCCGTCAACGGGACATCAACCCTCACGCCGTCGCCAGGCGGGTGTTGGCTGATCCCCCCGCCTGGGACAGACAGGTGAGCTGATCTGAGGGAGTGTAGGTGAGGGCAGCGGTGGAGATGTAGAGTTGCTGTGTGTGGATACGCTGTTTGCGGGGTCGCTGAGAGCAGAACTGCCGAGTGCAGGATAAGTGAGGAGAAAGGTAGATAAGAGTGGGGAGAAGTTAAACATAAGTGACCGTATAGTTATAGGAGTGCCTACAACTGGTGCAAGAATAGGTGAATAAAGTGTAAGCAGGTGACTTGTTACGTGTTGGTGAGTAATTTTTGAAGACACTACACATTTATTAATGCGCATCACAATTACTTTGAGTCTGTGGTATCAAGTACTTATTCATTTCCTACTTTTGATATTGGGTTGTTTTATGTTGATTGCTTTTGCATAGAGCATTGCCTGATTGACTTGTTTTTTTTATTCATACCAATGCCTTCGTAACAGTATTATATATAAGCTGTACCAAACACCCTTTGCATATTAATGACTGGTTTTCTGACTTTTAATAAAGAAAATGGTTGCTTGTATTAAAATACTTTTTTCTAGGTGTGGTTTACTAGTGTATTCAATCATTCCGTTGCATGTGGCGATATTAAACGGATCCGGTTTTCATTGGTTACTGTCATTTTTCCAATATACCCGAAACAACGAAACATTCAAATAATTGACAGGTGCTAATTGGAACAATAATGATCTCCTGCTCCTGTCGCCAAGGGGAATGGGTGAGGTTTAGGCTCATTGGGTACCCAGTTCAGATTTCCACAGAAAACCTGGTTTACAGACGTGTTCCAGCTAGCTAAAAACTAATCTATTTTTATTTTACCAGGTAACACCCACTGAGCTATAAAGCTCTTTTTCAGAAGTGACCCGGTCATAAATTATAGCCCAATGAAGTGGCTTATTGTGTGTAAATTTATAGCAGCCAAATGTTCTCAATGCATGTTTCTGAAAGTTGAGGCAAAAACCGGAGGACCAGGAGAAAAATCCACGTGATCACCAAATATACAGGCGTCTGGGTCAGGATCGAACCCACGCCCTCCTGTATACCAGGCGAGGTCGGTAACATCTCGCCAACGTGGCACAAGAATGCAGCAGGACCACCCTCACTGTCTACACAACATCCCTCACACCCGAGAATGAGAACTACCAGAGGCTAATCACCTCCAATTAGCACGTATGGCTACATATAGTACAAAAGAAATTCAACATACATACATAAGCTCAGAGGTTTGGAGAGCTGTGGCTTTCCTGCAAGAATAAGTGCTGGTTGCAGGATGCCGGGAGATGGAAACTGTCTCGGCAGCTCGAGATCATAAATCACTCTTGGTAATTGCTTCTCACTCTAAGTTCGAAACGTTTATGCTCAACCTGAAACAAGCAGTCCATGAGCCATTCTGGCTTTAATCAGGCCGAATAGTACAAGGAGCTTAGAGATTCTTGAAAGATCTGTACACAGTCCCAACCCATCAGTGAGGTCTTCCAGCAAGTGTGGTTGCAGTGGCTGGGTCATGTAGCTCACATGCCTAGCCACCACATGCCCAACCAGCTTGTTTTGCTTGAAAGAGGGGAATAAATTGGTAAAGCACAGGCCAGAGAAGGGCTGATGTAATATAGGATGACGTGGAGCCAACCGGACTTGCCAATGACTGGAGCCAGCACTGTCAAGATCGACATCTGTAGAAGAGGCTCGTGAAGGCAGTTGGGAGACATTTTCCCTCCAAAAACAAGAGTGGGAGGAGCAATGCTAACAACGAACGGAGCAGCAAGCGGCTATCCATGTCCTCCTACCAGCAAGCTTTCCACACTGCAAGTGGCCTCAAAGTGCAACTAACCTGGCACAAACACAGTGGTGATGCCACCATCCCTTAGTGGTGAATGGCTACTCTTGTTGTTGCACTATTTTATATTTTTACGAATAAAAAATAATCTCACTGGTTAAAACATTAATGTACGGATATTAAGCAAATTAATATTTGGTGCATTAGCTTTGTCCCCTCATTGTAAACGACTTTCAGGGTTTTACTCCGGGCAGTGCATGTTCAGAAATTACAACATGTGCTCTCATATAACATTTAATATATTGCTACACTCGATGGTCAAAATGTGCCATTATAGAACAGTATGCCAAAACGGCACTAATCAAGACAAGAAACATGAACACCAACACTGGGTTATTTAGCCGACATGTCCAGTCACTGCATGCTCATGCAGCTTCTGTTTGGCCAGATATTGTATGGATGTATGTTGAACTTCTTTCGTACCGGTTTGGCAACCGTGCTAATCAGAGGTACAGAGCACCTTCATCAGAGTTAAAGGGGCTAAATGTGAGCGGCAAGGCTATAGAAGTGATGGGCCGATATTGTACATGAGGCTGTGCAATTGGCTGGATCTGCGATGTCAAGATCAACCTCTGTTGAGGAGGCTCGTGAAATACGCAACTGGGCATATATCGGCAGTTACCCTCCAACAATTACAGAAGGCAGAGGAGCCCTGGGTGGCTAAAACGCAACAAGTTGGCACATTGGGGTATGCATTACTAATCATCTCAGTGAATCCCTAAAACCTGGCTTTGTCCTGAGACGTTTTGCCAGCAAGCATTCCACACGTCATGTGGCTTCAAAGTACACCTAGTCCGCACAAGCACTGTTGTAACGTCACTGGTACTTGTTGACAAATAGTAGTTGTGTCAGTAAACGTGGGCTGCAGGACAGATAGTTTGACACCGGCACTTCTACATTTAGAACCCCTGACTACACCAATTCGTTATGAAGCCACTGGCTAGCAGGTATCGCATAAAAGACGTGAGACACTTCTCTACCCCTTTTGCCTACCATGGCCATGGTGCCAAGCTGGGTTGGAAGCCGGGCTGCCTCCTGCTTCACCCGCCTCCCCGGGTAGAGACTGCTCCTCTTCACTGCCGACCCTCTCCTCTGCAGGGAACAATGCGCACAGCTCAATGGCCAAGAAGCACACAGACGCTATTCACAAGCGCATTCTCAGCTGGCTTTCAAGGTAGGGCGTCAGCGATCGGTGTCGTGAAAGCTGTGCGGCCTGTGGCGTCCCGAACAAGCAACTAATTCGAATACCTGTGCCATTGGGGTGCACAGCAGTAACACCTGTGCCTCACATCAAGAAGGACCTGGGTTCAATTCCCCACTCGGGCATCTTTCTGCGTGGAGTTTATTATCCTCCAGTTCTATATGGGTCTCCTTAAGGTTCTCCTGTTTCCTTCCATAGCAAAAAAAGACAAACATCAATGGGATGGATAAATATCCCAATGCTGAAAAAAATGCCTGCAAATTACTCAATTGGGGCTGCACAAAGCAACATTGCACTATCTTATGAAAACTTGTCAAGACTCCCGTGAAAAGGTCTCAAGATTTGGTGAGGTTTTCCCGAGTAAGCTTGTGTAACAATAAACTGGCTTTAGCCTACGCAGGTGAGAGGACTGCGCTTGATCGCATTCGAACAACACAAGGTACGTGCGTGTGGAGATTTGATTCGCAGAAGAATTAAAGAGTCGCCACCTGACGTGATGTGCGATCTGTTGATCACAAAACCGAACACTGCCCATTATGCGCTTACACAAGAGGGATGTACGCCATACATCAAGCAACTCTTGATGCTATCGAATGGATTTCCAGACTCGTAGTTTTATTTTGTCAATTACTTTGCAAATGCTTTACAAATTGAAGAGTCAACTTTTTATTGTTTAGTCAACCTCTTGGTTTTGCTGTTTGACGTCCTTCCCAAAGGAATACATCTCAGAAACCCATCTGGTCAGTGATATGTACAACCTCATATATACGTTGGATCCCGAATAGATTTTATGACCGTATATAAAATCTTGAATTGCGTTAGTTTACATTCATAACAATCCAAATATACATTACTCTCTTCAGCTGCAAATTCCATTGGCTGTGATTCAGGGAAGACTCTCTCAAGACTCTGATGGATGTTATTTCCCAAGTTTAGTACATCTGCTCACATTCTCATTCAGTCCCTCACTGTTTCTTTAATTTCGTCTGTTTTTCACCATATCTCCTTCCCCCTCTGCGTATACATCACTGCCTCACTTTATTTGTCTTTGTCTCTATCTATATATGTGTCCCCATCTCCCTTTGCCTCCAGGGTAGCTCAGTGGTGACACTCATGCCTCACAGTAAAGAAGGACCTGGGTTCGTTTCCAACTCGGGTACCTCTCTGTTCAGAGTTTGTATGTTCTCCCCCTGTTCTGCATGGGTTTCCTCTGGTTGTCTGGTTTCCTTCCATTGCTAAAAAAAAAAACAAATCAATTGGTATGAGCCAACATCCCAATAGTCAAAAGTTACCTTTAAGTACCTTCATTCGGATTACAAAAAACAACATCACCCCCGACTGCAAAAAACTTGCTGCCTAGGCCTGGTTTTTGGAACTCAGTCAGGCTTTCCTGGGTGAGCCAGACCGGCAAAGTCGTAGAAATCTCTACCGAACTTGAGGTGGGGGCTGTGCTGGGGCTATCGCTGCTATTGCACACCCAGGGAGAGGGGAGTGCAGTGCATGAGGCAGTGTGGGGACAGGGAGAGGGGAGTGCGGTGCATGAGGCAGTGTGGGGACAGGGGAATGTGGTGCAAGAGGCAGTGTGGGGACAGGGAAAGGGGAGTGCGGTGCATGAGGCAGTGTGGGGACAGCGGAGTGCGGTGCACGAATCAGCATGGGGACAGGGAGAGGGGACTGATGCAGGATGAGGCCTCAGCGTCTGTGTGAACGCTTCTCGGTGTGGCTCGACGTGGCTCTCGACAAGGCTGGTTAAAAAGTAACTGGTAAAAGCTTTCACAGTCGGCTACCAGTTCCAAAAATCAGTATTCGGACATTGTTTCCAGCGGACTTTTAGTAATGAAGTGCACTGATTGGCACGTGCGAACGTTTCAAACGGCACGCCGGCCCCAATCACCATATGGCAAATTTCTCCGGTTCTCAGATAAAAGGTAAATGCAGCCCTGCAATTGCATGCTAATGCCACAAATGGGTGCTCAGGAAAGGATGCGGTCTACTCTTCCACGCTGACCAGACTTGTTGGAAGCTGTAGACAATTCTATATGTGCAGAAAGTTGGTAACCGGTTGACTGATTAATGCACAAACCATTTTAATAAGCCTACTCTAGAACCTGCGCAACCCTGGGGACCAAAATCATGAAATTAAGCGATAGAGCATCTCCCCTGAAACCTGAGTAGACAACTGTTACATTCATAGGACCATCGTCACAATTTATACTCCTCGTAGACCCATCAACACCACACCTACCGGTGTTCTGGGGCTCCTCTCCGTGCACCGCGTCCGTGTAGATGCAGCTGAAGCGCTGAGCTGACGTCTGCAGCTCCTGGCTCAACCCGTTTAGCATGCTGACGATGGCCTGCAGAGTGTCCGCCAGGGCGGACGGGGCGGCCGCGGCACCGCACCCCAACCCGTCTGCGCCGAAGCCCTCCAGCACCTGGCGGAGGACGGCGTAGAAGGCAAACGGCAGGCGCTCGCGGGCGAGCGTGAACAGTTCGCCGCGCACTGTGGGGTGGCGCGCGCACGCCAGCAGGGAGTCGTAGTCGGTGATGCCCAGCTCGGTCTCGAGCGCGGTGGCGTAGCGAGGGTTCATGCCCCTGGCCGCTAGCCAGCCGGGGAAGTCCTGACGCGGGTCCACCAGCACCTCGCAGGCCATCGTCTGCGACGGCGCCGGCTCTGCTTTCACGAGATGACTCGGGACAACTGCAGCAGCAACAGAGAGAGAGAGCGGGACACGGACCTCAGACCTTGGGTTCTCTTGAGAATGTCTCGGCGCTATGGTCGCGCATAACCGGCAATCCAGCACCATAGAGACGGCGAGGGTTGGTGGACCGCACGACAATTGCCGTACCAGCTGGGCAGCGAGGTCACCGTCTCCTGCCTTACCAGTGTGTGGTAGTACAGCAAGTGGGTTACTTTCCATCACTTTCCATCTCTATTCATCTCTATTCCATCTCTATTCCATCTCTCTTCCATCTATACGGGAATGGAGTGTTACTCCCCCCTCACACATGTGGGTTTTCTCCGAGTACTTCGGTTTCCTCCAACTCATGAACACCCTAATCGAGAGCCACGGAGATTCGGCAATTGTTGGTACTGGTTCTGGCTGCATTCCCACTTGTCTGTGGTTTCCTGTGACTTTGAATAAAACAAACTGCACATATTACGAAAGTTGTGTTTTTTTATGATTTACAATCTCACATGAAACAAAACTTAAAGCTATTTTTATTTTCCCAGGCAAGGCACACTGAACGTTGTGACAATTTTTCAGAAGTTATCTGTCCAGACACATGATAGCTCGACGAAGTAGCTTATCACTTAAATTTATAGCGACCACATACTATAAACGCATTTTTCTAAATGTGGAGGGAAAAACCGGAGGATCCGGAGAAAATCCACGCGACCACGAGGAGAAGATGCCAACTCCAAATATACAGTAGGTATCCAGGTCGGGATTGAACCGACCTCGCTACAGTGGAGCAAAAAAATCGGAAGCGCATGTCTAAGTTGGTCCATTACCTTGCGGTTGGTATCCTCAGCCCTTACTTTCACTGCGTGTGACAAACTCATCACACATTCATCATGAAAAGTTTATTATTGTTGACATTTGGGGCAATATCCCTTCACAGCAGGATGTGTTTTTATAATTTTAATGCAGTGTTGATTAACATGTTGAGTCTTTATTTGTGCTTGTGCACCACTTGCAATGCAGTATCACCAAATAACGTTTTACCTAGCCCAGGGGCCGGCAACCTGCAGCTCCGGAGCCGCATGCGGCTCTTTACGGACTGCTTAATTACGGAATGTATGTACTCACATGTATCGTTTCTCTTGGAATATTGAGTTTTGTACCAAAGTCTATAAAAATTTCTCTTCTTGTTATTTTGGTTGTCGACCCCTGACCTAGCCAGACGATGGTGGCTATGCACACTGATAATTATCCAGCACACTGAATGCAGCTAGGCTTGGTAGAATACACCAATGTTGAGAAACTCCCTTCTCGTGGCTGTCGAGGTGCCATACCCTGGCTTGCCTAAAGAAGGCAGTAAAGCAAGGGGGCTAATCCCAATCTGTTTCCATTTGTATGGGCAAAGAGTGTTGTTCGGATTTCCTCCCACGTTAAAACATTCATTAATTGACAAAAGCATCTTAAAATAAACACCCAATGCGGCACCCTATTGAAAAACAGTAGTACGAATTAGTGTGGCTTTCCTGGATAAATAAGTAAATTATTATACGCGTGTGGCTTTCCTGGATAAATAAGCAAATTATTCTTATCCGTACTCTTTGGTTCTTTCGGTAAAGTCACGTAGGTATAAAATTAAATAAATCACGACGTTTCGGGCGCAACACACGCGTTCGTCATCAGGTGGGAAAGCATGATTGATGTTATTATTATATGTGTTTAGTACAAAGCTTATGGGACATAATACCATGATCTGCGCAATATCTCAAGCATCTGTCATATCTCGACCCATCGGCTGCAGATATCTTACCATATTCTCTGCTGGAGTTTAAGACGGGTCACTACTTTTGGGTCATTTAACGTAACATTATTGCGGGTACATTCGATGCGGGTAAACGTATCAGAAATACGATGCTCACAACGCATCCACTTACTAATAATAATAATCACATTTATGTAGCGCTTTCATCAAGGATCTCAAAGTGCTGCACAGGACACAGCATCAGTAGATACTCAGCATAAAAATAATATTATAAATAAATAAATAATTCTCTAAATGAATAAATGTTTTAACAAGCGGAAACGTATAAATAGGTTTTAAGTCGAATTTTTAAAATGTCCAGACTCAGAGATACTGATATCTCATGAACCACGGCTTCTGCTCGTCTCGACACCATTACAGTAGCAGTGAAAGAATATATTCCATTCTGCTTCTTTATTCTTTCACTGCTACTGTAACGGTGTTGGGACGAGCAGCTGTGATAGTTCACGAGATATCAGGATTTAATTCTGCTTTTCCACATGTCAATAAAATAAATACAAGGCGTCTGTGTACACGACCAGTAAGACATTTTCTATCAAGCCACTTGCTAAATCCAAACTGGCAAATGGATTGGCGAGTAGATTGAGTGGCAAGCAGGCCGAGTTCCTACATAGTCCAGGTACAAGGTGTCAGGACACATATCAGTCTATGAAGCACCCTCAACGTTTGGTTTAAAATTATTTAGAAATAAAAATGTCATAACCTGGAGAATACAGCATACATGCCTGTCACATCTCACGAGTAGTATTCTACCTATGGCCTTTATAAATCCCTCCACAAACCAGAATCATACAGCCAAGACTCCTTATTCACACTTTCAAGTGAAGGGATATATAATAAGACATCCCTATATTGGTCATTTAAAAAAAATATCTCCTTATGGAGACCACTTCCAAGCGATAAAGCCAGAGAAAAATGTGGAGTAATTTGCTGCCCAACTTATCACCAGCCATGGTCAACCCTCTGTTGGATTAAGGCCTCCCCTCCCCCGAAGCCCTTACAATCATTTACGATCTTTAAATGCAACAATCCATCTTCTGGACCGATTCCCGGCATCACCATTGAAGTTAATAGGGGGTGCTACTGGACAATTCCCATACTCTCCAAAATGAACTTGATTCCTGCAGGAAACGTCGAGTACTAAACATCATCACCACCACCCTCATCATAAATACCATAATTTATCCACGGTTATTTCGGGGAAGTTGTGCAAATCGGCAAAAATGGCCAATGGATAAGAGACAGTGGTCTAGGCACTTTGGATTTCCACAGATAAGCACAGGTAACAGAAGGAATTAGCCATGCACCTCCTCTTATCCATTACAATAATTACTGTAGATAACAGGAGGAATTTCCTGCGCGACTCTTTATTCATGCTTTTGTAATTTTGGTGACTCAGGACAAGTTTTCAAATGTGACTGCCATGGCCTCTTGAGCTCGTCACCTCGTAAAAAACAAAATCAACTTGATTCACGCAATTGCTACTTCCAAGTGAACGGCTCTTATCCTGTAAACAGGAGTTATCAGGGATAGATTCGGACCACAGATAATTAGAATTGCCAATAAGCCCGGATAATAGGGGAGGTGGTCGGAGGTCATAGTGCTGGACCCGGATCCGTTTTGTATCCTGGGTTAAATTCAAAGCAGCTGCCTGCTATTAAACCAGGTTGTCAAGTATGGCAAGTTCAAGGTCTTAGCAAGGTCACCTGTGAATAAAACAAAGCAATCACAAAGTGTTTTCGCACTTAATTTGGCTAAATTTCAGCTCGAAAATAAAAATAAATCTGAGTTTAGACTCGTCATGCGAAGAATATTACTATTGGTTGCAGGAAGGCAGGAAAATGTACCTGTGTACCAGATAAGTCACTTAATGGAACTTCAGAGGTAGCTCTATGATATCCACTTTCTTGGGCCGTTCCCTAATAATACAGGTTACACTTATCTGTGAAAGATCAACATTGGGACACTTAGTATCATGGCAATGCCGACTGCTAAATTGTGAATGCATTTGGTTTGGAAATGACAAAAAAAGTTATTTCGTCATGTGAACCTTATGGCGGGACCCCGGGGTCCCGAATAAACGGAAGCCAAAATCGTCATTAATTATTTTTGGCGACTCCGTCCCATCGCACACATAAACGCCGCGACCTACCCGGCGCGGATCATTCTGTAGTCATGTCGTCCAAGCGCAGCGAGGACGAATGCGCATAAGAGCTGAACAAGCGAATGCACTCCATGCTCGGGTATGGGCAGCATCATAAGTCTTATCCAAAGCTGCTCAAACTGCCGACACGACTGAAGTCCTTTATTTGTCACAACGGTATGCATAAGTGAAACTGCTCTCTTATCTTAATTATTATTCGTGACCTACCAATGTCTGCAGCCAGGATCAATCGACGACAATCCTATTACTAGCAGATATTTAACAGATGAGATGCGTTGCACCGTTAACTCCTCCTGTTTGATACTTCTCTTGTTCGTATGCATCTGTGCAGATAGTTTTTTTTTTGCCGTTAAGACATAGTCCCCACATACCGCTCGTATCAATGCGGATAAGAGGAGAGGCGACCCACTACTCTGTAGAGTAACATTTGTATCAACGCTTGTTACAACATGAACAGCGCATTAAAAACGCGTACTATTTTATGTACTGTTTACAAAGTGTGTTCACAAATCCACATTGAGAAACACGATAATTGACAGAGGGGTATCAATTGTTTTTTCGATAGTGTATCTAAATAGAGGTACTGCAGGTAAGTAGCTTTCAGTTTTAAAGGCATAGTTTAACAAGACAACACTTGCCATCATCCTTCAAACCCATTGGTGAAAAAGAGCAAAGTTTTTGTTTACATGATGTTTATGCGAGAGCCGGGGGCTTAGGAGCCATCCATTTAGTACGTACGCACGGAGGGAGGGTTAACCCAGATGCGTACGCTTGCGTATTGGGGGGGGTCCACTGACAATGTACGCGAGGGGGTGAAGCCTCGATAATAACGTATCTACATTGGCCCTCAAATGAGTTAAAGTCCGGCGGTGGACTGTTTGATTAATTACGCCTTGATCGTTTCTGCGTGGATTAAATATCGGCCGTTCTATATGATTCGGGGGGGGGGGGGGTGCGTCAAGCGTACGTACGCAGGTGGGAGGGGGGGTAAAAAGTACGCGTGCGTACAGGGAGAGGTGGAGGGGTCAAGTTGACAAATTTTTGTGTGCAGTATGTATTTACTAAATGGGAGGCCCCTTATGGGACCCCGGGGTCCCGCCATAAGGTTCATGTGTTTAATTATACTGGTAGGAACGAAGTTGTAAACTGAGTGTACCAGCCTGCAATAGATTAATGTGTCCGTCCGTCCCCTTTCAATACTTTAACGAAGTGAAATCTCATGCTGTTGGGTGTAAAATCAGCAATAGACAGCGCAGAGACTTGATATGTCTTATTGCACCCAACATTTGGAAGTCACATTATCTCATTTGCGAACTTCTACCAGCCCACCCTGCAGGGACCTGTTATAAATATTTCACGTGACTATGAAAACGTTAAGGTAATTATCTCGCCCAGCATGTAGCCTTTGTAACCGCACGGAGTGTGGAGGGTAGCGGTTTCGGGGTGTCCTGACACAGCACCCACGTGCTGATATCACCAGCTCTCTCCTGCTTCTTACACCTCATTCGTCTTTATATTATCCACGCTTCCGAACATCATGTTTTCTGATCACTACATCTACCTTCTACCTCTTCTTTTCTTCTGAATAAACCTCCCGTCATCCATTTTCTTTTAAATACATCTCGTCTATCACACTTCACCCGCATACAATCATTTTAATGCATGAAAATAACTTAGTGGGAATGAACATGATTGATGGTTTAAGTGACGTTTCAAATGTATAACATAGACATTACAAACAAAATATAGAGGAAAGAATTCATAAATGGCAAAATAACCATAAGTGGAAATCGTAATTATGCGTCAGCACGCATGTAAACAATAGGTGATCCCTCACCTTTGAACATTTTTAACCACCACGTTTATACACTTTCATACAATTCACCAATGAGCTTATTGCAGTCAAAATCTTACTTGGACACTTTATCAAATTAGTCAATCGCAAAAAACACAAAACTGCCAACTTTTTTCTGTGAGGTTCGTATTTAAAACGTCCCCACAATGTTTTAGTCACATGGGTCCAGGCTGAAATCACAAGCTTGGTACACGTATTGTTCAATCTGCGTTGGTTGCTTTGACTCAATACTTTCTGCAGGGTGCGGTTTCGCCAGTATTTGCCTGGGTGTTTTTTTTTTCCAGAATGTGTTTACACTCGTGTTATGTGTGCCAGTGTGTGATGTGTACCCGAGAGTGACGTGTGCCTGGGTTCGATGTGTGCCTGAGTGTGTACTTGGGTACAGTGAGGTGTGTGCCTGGATGTGTTGTGTCTGAGTGTGATGTGTGCCTTGGTGTGATGTTTACTGTGTGGTGTGTGCCTGGGTGTGATGTTTACTGTGTGTGCCTGGGTGTGGTGTATGCCTGTGTGATATACAGTATGTGCCTGGGTGTGATGTGCTTGTATTTATCCGGATTGTGCATCGTGCTGCGTGGGAATGATGGGTGGTAACTGGGTTGAGTCACACGAGGTACAGCGGTGGCTGCGAGGAAAGGACGAAGAGGCTCGTCGTGCAATCCCCGCGCTCTCCACTCACGGTCACCCACCTCGCCCCCTCGCGTCTCACCCGCGCGCTTATTCTCTCTCACGCGGAGGCAAAACAAAGACCCAGGCTGGGCGACGCCTCCCGCCCTGCGCGGCGAGGGTCAGGCGAGGAGCGGACGCCTCCCTCCTCTCCCGCGCCTCCCGTCGCCGTCTCTCCCCACCCCCCGCTCTCACCTCAATGAACGTCGCCCGTCAAGGTACGAGGCAGTCGCTCCCCCCCGGCTCGCTCTCCCGTACCACCACTAACCCGCCCGCTCGCTCGTCCGCCGGGCCGAAGATGGCTCCGCGCGCAGAGAAGCAATTGGAGATGGTGAGTCGCGGGTGAGGAGGGTGAGTGGCGAGGGTTAATGCTGAGGGCGAGTTCTGACGGTGAGTGTCGAGGGTAAGTGTCGAGGGTGAGTGTAGAGGGTGAGAGGAGAATGGGTGAGTGGTGAGGGTAAGTGGTGAGAATGAGTGATGAGGATGAGGAGAAAATGAGGTGAGTTGTGAGGTGAGTGGCGAGGTGGAGTGCCGCGAGTTGCGATGATGGAGGCGCGAGGCTCTGAGCGGAAGTGAGGGTGCGCGCGCGCGGGGCCGATCGTGACGTCACTTCCTTTCAGCGCGTGCGCGGAATTTCCGGTCGGTGCTCGGGCGCCGAGATGACGTCATTTCCGTTCAGGGCGAGGTGGGCGCGCGACCGGGTCACGTGTCCGCCGGTTGCAATGGCCACGCCCATCACCACCCCACGTGTCAAGTACGTGGTCTTCGAGACGAATGCAGTCGATTGAGCACAAGGCGGACGCTTTGGTTTACAAAGAGAATACATAATTTAGTTCATCCACCTGGCATCTGCACACAAGTCACAGCGATTTCCTTCTCATCTTCCGTTTAGTTTACAGCCCTGAGCCTGTGATGGAAATTCCAAATTCTAGATTTAAAGCTTTCGTGACTGCTAGGATCCATACTCTTTGGTTCTATTGGGTAAAGTCACGTAGGTGAAAATAAAATAACAAAAAATCACGACGTTTCGGCCACAACACAAGCGGCCTTCATCAGGTGAAGGGACGAGACAGTCTGGAGGACAGCGCTGGAGTGAGAGAAGCCACACTTAGATCACGACCTTTAAGCTGTGTGAGAAGAAAAACAAAGCGCCTTGACAAAGGAATTAGCATATAATTTAGCATTGAAATGGCTCATTGAAATAGCTAAGTTAAAGTATACACATCCGCAGAGGTACCCCTTGACAAAGGAATTAGCATAGAATTTAGCATTGAAATAGCTGAGTGATTAGATTGTAACTGGTCACAGAAATAGCTATGTTAAAGTCATAGCATATACATTCACCGAGGTACCTAGTACTAATCAAACAGGAGAATTTAGCGAAACACAACCACGCTCAGACAGCGGACCTTTAAACTGTGTGCGAGCAAACAAGGTGTTCTGACAAAGAAATTAGCATAAAAATTAGCATTTGATTGGCCGATTTTAGGAAAGAGGTGGTGTACGTGCCGGTGGACTTGCCATTTGGCGCGGGGGGGGGGGGGAGTTTACCTTTTGATGGTGTGAAAAGGGAATTTTTAAGAGCTGAGATAGTTTTGGGGTACCACTACTTGAAAAAATATACTGTACCATTGAAATTAGTTTAATGTTTAGTTCGATTTAGAACATCTTTCCAATGGTTGCTTAATTTGAAACCATCTTCTCGGTTGAAATTGTGTCTGTGTTTGTAGATCTGAATTGCTTCATGAACAAATCTCTGATAAAAGCCCGTGGGTTTGCAAAGAACCTTGGTATCGGAGAAAATTATATCGTGATCCCCCACAGCGTTGTAACAGTGATCAGCCACGGCAGAAGAATTCGTTTTGTCGTGTTTCAAATCTGATTTGTGCTCGCGAATTCGGTCAGAGACATGTCGCTTTGTCTCCCCGATATAGCAATCACCGCAGGTACAACTCAATTTGTAAACCCCGGGGTACTGTAAGTCAGGAATGACATCCTTCATGGATGGGATCAGATCACAAATTTTGTGTACTGTATTGAACCGGACCTGGATCTTGTGTTTGTTTAGAATTTTGGAAATCTTTTTAGTAACGCCTGCTATATATGGAAGTGTGATGGTTTTTAGTTGGCTACTTGTGTTGCGGCCAAAACGTCGTGAGAATTTTATTTTATTATGTTTTATTTTTATTACTTTGTTTCCATTCTACGTGACTTTACCGAAAGAACCAAGAAGATGAATCCCTGCAGTCACGAAAGCTTTAAATCGAAACGTTCTACTTAATTAAATATACTTTAATAAATGTTTTCTCCTACAACATCAGAGTGCAGCGCCACATTAAATACACACTACAATAACAATAGTTTAAAGCGATTTGAAGCATGTTTTTTTTTGGGGGGGGGCAGAGCTTTGTGACGTCACATTTGAGGGGGGGTCTG